TCAACTTGAATAAGTTCGCCTTCCTGGCTTGGACCTTCCTTGCCCCGGCATGGGCCTTAATGAATGAATCTGCAAGCATTTCAAAAGAGTCAATCGATCTTACTAAAGAAGTTTGGAGAAACCCTTACAAATAGTCGATTCGATCTCATGTTGAGCCAAATCATTCCCTTTCGCAGTCGTGGTGTAGGTTGTGATGTGCTCTTGCAGATCCGAAGTCCCATCATATTTTGGTATGTCCGACATCTTGAACCTCTTTGGAATTAACTCTGGTGTTACGCTCAGTTTAAACGGCAATTGTGTGTATTTTTTTGGAATCTGGGCCTTTTAGTATTTATGGTGCGCACAAAATATGATCTAGTCGAGTGTGAAACTCTTATGCATTTTGATCCATTCGTTTGTTCATTTCGCTTATAAATCTCATGATCTCGGTTAAAGGGATCATTCCCATTATTGTTTCCATATCCGCTACCGGTCCCTCCGGCTTCGTCGAAACCATCCTCGCCTCTTGGGGTGTTGTTGTCGACCCTCTAAGCCGTTTGGTTTGCAGGAGCACTGGGAGGAGCTGGGCCCCTTTCGTTCGTGTTATTGGAGGCACCTGACAAAGCTTGTTTCAACTCCGTCACTACCTGATCCTTCCTTGAGAGGAGTTTCATGATTGTTTTTTGTTGTTCTCTTAAGATTTTTACTGTTTCCACGACATGTTCCTCCTCCGCATCATCGGGAGTTGGCTCCCGCACATACCTAGGGTACCGCCTTTCACGAACAGGTGTCGTTTCACCACCTTCATTATGGGTGTCGCTGATTGAATCATTATGGTGGATAATTCTTCGTGCCCATCTACGTTGTGCGTGATATTGACATCATTAGAAGCCATATCCTTTTTTTTTGCTAAGGAACTAATCAAAACGAGTTAGTAATAAACGTAAGGATCAAAGCAATTACGCAATTGTCTAAGCCCGACGGTGGGCGTCAAAGAATTTAACCGTAAAATGGTACAGTTAAATTTGTTACGTGATTTATACACAAGCGAACTTATTTGATCCAACAATGATAGATAAATAAGATTAAAAATAAAATTTAGCAATTGAAAGTGAAGAAGATGACAAGCCTGGCTCCGAGTGCAATGCCTCCGAGGACAAAAGTGAAAGCAATGATAAAGAGCAAGCAAAGTTGTTTAATTGAGAGCAAAAGTAAAATAGAGCATATGTTTGCAAAGAATCTCATGTCCTTACAATGGCTGGTGAGCTTAATATTTATAGTTTTACCTAGGGAAACAAGATCCTAGGATCAAGCTCCTCTTAAATGATAATAAAAGAGTCATTGATGAATATGTAACGGCAGGCCATGAATGCAAATATTCTTTGCAACGGTCATTCATTTAATGTTAGAGAATATTCCCTCATCGAATGCTATCCAATGGCAAACCCGTGATCTCCTTCGTTAAATATGCTCCCTTCGGGATTTATCCAGTGTCGATTACATTCGTTGTGTCCGGTATTGACCGTTGCCTGACTTGCCTTTTTTCTTACCTTCGGTTCCACGTGTCATGCTACCATTCGAACATCTATTATAAATTAATTTTACCCCATACAAACAGTGTAATGCCACATAATTTTAAACTTGAGCTCTATATATATACATTGCACCCAAAAAAGTGAAATATCGTTTTGTATGTATGTAAATTTTGAAGGATTTCAGTGCATTTTAACTTGTGATAACATGTTAAATATACTAAAGTTTATCAGCTTACCTATTTCTGAAGTTTATCATACAGACTTAACCCATCATTATAATTGTATAAATATTACACGTCCATAGAACTTACACTTATTTATAAATTCTAAAGCCCTCCCTATATGTAGGTGTTGCATGCCGTACTCCACGGAACATCGTCGACCTTGACCTCGATCAGGGGTGGCCCAATAGTAAAGCAGCTAAAGCAATTGTTTTGGGCTAGCCTGAAATTTCCTATAGGTATCAATTTTTCTGTAAGAATATTAAGTATTTGGAAGGAAAAAAGGGTACAATTTTCATGAAAAATGGAAAGACTGGACTGTTGCAGAAATGTTTGGCCCCTAAACTTGAAAACTTTTGTTTAGTTCCTCCTTAAATTTCATATAGTCTTTAGTACCTCCTGAACTTGGAAATTTGATACTCTTGACCTCCCCCAGATGCTGATGTGGCAAAGATCGTGGATACACTCTCGTTTTGGCGCGTGAGAGCGAAGAAAAATCGAAAAATCAGCTTCCAAGTAGGGTATTTTTCAAATATTAATTACCACATAATCAAATATAATGATTTATTTGTTTCATTTGTATTTTTCATTATTTTTTCTTAATATGCATTACATATTTTATCCTAATTGTATTTTTTTTAGATACAATGAATATATGTTTCATAATGCATTTTTTATCTTTTTTCGGTCCAAATCTATAAAAGTTAATTAAAACTCTATTTATTTTAGCAAAATAAAAAGAAGATTTGGCCAGAGTAATGAAGTTCAAGTGGCTCATTTTCTACAAAAAGAAAAAAATATTGTGTATTTTTATTTTTATTTTCATGCAATGACTATTTATTTAAACTATGCATTTTTTCTTTTCGAGTCAAATTTGCAAATATTTATTTAGAATGTTACTATTCTTAGCTAAAATATTTATTTAGCCAATATATGGAGTTCCAATAACGTATTTTTAATTTTAATTTTTTAGATGTAATGAATAATATGTTCTAACTGTGTATTCCTTTTATTCTGACCAAATATGTAAAAGTAACTTGATTAAAATATTATTATCTTCAGCCAAATAAAAGATTATAGTTAAAATAACATTGTTTCAAGTTTGTTTTACAAATTTTGGCACAAAAAAATAATTTAAATAGTTGGTGGACTTAATAAGATAAAAAAATATATATTTTATTATTAAAAAAAATATCACATGGACAAAACAAATCTATTTGGCAGTGCGGGTGTCACACTCCCATGAATTGTCAGCGTCCAGGGGGGTCGAGGCTATGAAATGTTCAGGGAGGACATTAAAGACCACGTAAAGTTTAAGAGGAAACTAAACAAAAGTTGTCAAGTTCAGGCGAACTATTCTGCCGAGAAAAAATGGTAAACCAACAATATTTTTGGGATTCACTCCCCTATTTGTCTTATTTCATACACATTCATCATTATTAATGGGTTCACATCATTTTCTCTTAGTATTACCTTTCTCTTCAAGTCTTACTAAGTCACTATCTCATAAACTATTCTAAAAAGTAAGAGTGGAAAAAATCAATTGTCAAACTCTTTTGTTTGTTCTCAAGTTTTCTGGAGTTGCATCAAAAGTATTGAAGCATCGATAGTGTATCACGTATTCAAGTTATCTATTTGGTGAACTAGGTTTGATTGTTCTATATTTTTATTATTTTGCATTTAAAATTTGTTAGTTTTTTTAAACTTTTTCGATGTAAGCATAGATTGTCTTTTTAGTTATTTTATTTAAATTTTAATATATCAACTAGAACAAATAAATTTGGGTGTTTAAAACGCCAAAAAGGAGAAGGATTGAAACTTTAATATAATCCCAAAAAGGAGCCTTTGATAAATTTTTAACAAATAACAAAAAATGCTAAATAAGAATTTATGAAAGAATGTATGGTGGATGAACAAATCACCAATATAATTGAGCTACACGACAATAAAAGGAGAAGAAGTTGGTGAGAAATCTAACATAGATCCTCAAGAACATCCGAAAGTTCTAAATAAATTGAATAGTTGTATTCCTAGAAACATATATGATCCTAATCATTGGTCTATAACTAAATTAATAGAAATTGATAATAATAAACATTATTAATAATTTACATTCAAAAAGCTCGAAAAATAAATTTCAAATAAAATTTTATATGATATTTTTTTCTTGTAACAAGAAGCTTAAGGCCCCTCGTTAAAGTTTGGCTTTAGGTCACAAATATCATTGAGCCGCCCCTGCCTCGATGCGTTCGACCAAGTCATGGCTATCAACGTTAGAGGGATGGTGGCAGGAATTAAGCACGCAGCTCGGGTGATGATCCCACGGAAAACTGGTTCCATTTTGTGCACGGCTAGAGTCACAGGCGCCACATATTCAACCCAAATCCTGCGCGATTGAAATCATGAGATCCGTAATAGCAGAACTATGCAAGAATGGGATCAGAATCAATTGCATATCGCCCTTTGCAATTCCAACACCGTTTTATATTGACGAGGTGAAAGCGTATTACCCTGGAGTGGATCCTCAAGTTCTTTGTTAACATGTTGTATAGCTCAAGTGAGTTGAAAGGAGCCTACTGTGAGCCAATTGATGTGGCCAATGCTGCTCTATATTTGGCCAGTGATGATGCAAGTATATTAGTGGCCAAAACCTGGTGGTAGACGGAGGTTTCACCTCCTATAAAAGTTTAAAATTTCCCACGTCTGATCAGGACTAATAACATTAGTAGTTGGTACTCGTAAACCAAAGATATTGCCACAAAAAATATTGCAAGTTGACCAAAAAAAGAACTGGGCTAACTCTTGACATGCAGAAATTTTGTCATCACACAGGAGATTGTTAAGTGGGAAAGTTTTCACACCCGACGTTTACATCAAATCAAATAATTAACCCTAAAAGTATCCAATCAAGGTTAAGAGATAAAAGTTTGTGAAGGAATCCTTCATCAGTTGTTTCAAAAAAAAGGATTGATAGAATGGTCTTATTATAACAATTCATGGTTCATATGCTTAGTTAGAATGAATAATCTAATGCAATTCATGGATTTGCAATAGACATGCCGTGCATTATTAATTTGCTTGGTGCAAATACGGGTTCGAGTAAGTTTTCTCCGAGTGAAGTGGCCCTCAGTTTTGAAGTGTGGCTAATATCGACCAGTTGCAGAAAGAGAAACACCGATTACACTTCTACACTTTAGTGATTACGACAGATGCATTTATTCCTCGCCAAATACATAAAGATGATGGCAAAATATGCCATCCCACATTAGGCAAGAGCAGGTATGCTAATTTATCAAGCATGGAGGTATAAGCTCCGCTTCACAGAAGATATTCATAAAATACATGAACTTAAACAGGCAAATTATTCAGTTTTGCTTTTTTCTGATACATACTAATAAATCAGTGTTTTATGAGTATGTGACCCAAAAAGATCAATGTGATTGACTATGTGATCCCTAAAGCATTTTTGTCAGTTGAAGAGATGCAAGTGAGCTAACTATTTAGTTTCAGAAGCTTCTGTCAGCCAGGTAATCAGCTCCTATTGGACAAATAAACATCTTTCGCACCATGGCCTGGAAATCCCTGCATGTTAGTTTGAAATAAGATTATAATCAAGATTCATGGAAAGAAGCATTATATATGAACTAAGTTGGATTTAATACTGACGACCAAGGATAATCTCCTAGTAACTTTGTGTTTCCTTCTCTATCTTGATAGGTTACATGCCAATCCTTGCTACCATCCAGAAGAGACCCTTCAAATCCAAACAGCTTGTCGAGTTCAGAAATGAGTTCCCCATACCCCTTTACACGTGACATGTCAATAGATCTTCCAAGAGCACATCCATACTTGAGTACCTAAAAGGAGACGGGATAAAAAAGACTTCAGTCAAAGACAGCTGTTCACGTGTTCAAAGTTTATCATAGGCTGAACTCTTCTCGGAATTGTAAAATGTTAATTTTGTTGATTAAAAACATAATCCAGAACACAATCCAGATTACCTTTGTGCAACTGCGACTGCATTGGGTGTCTGAATTGCCAGAAGTGCTTTTACTCTGTTCCAGAAAATTAACGGTCTTAGAAGCTGCTGGAAAAGAACCAAAATGTGTAAGTTTACTTCCATGTTGGGAAGGGGACTCAGGACCATTTAGTATATCCACTCCAAATAGCTTTAATTTGCTTCCACCAGTGGGTTGGCTCCCCATAACATCTGATTCGACATTACCTTTAGAATTTGAATTTCTGTAATCGACAATCTTTGGAATAGACAAAGATTCACTTGCAAAGGATGGTATTTTTGAAGACTGTAAATTGGAAAATCCATTACTGGAAGGACTTGTGCCATGAACTTCCTTTCCAATAAAGTCTAACCACGGATCAAGAATATGGTTATGCTGCTGATTCTCCAATCTAACTTGTCCTCGCCTCCATCTAAGTTTTCGCTGTGGTGGTTGACGCAAATCATGAGGTCGTCTGAAGGCATTCTCTTCATAAGCATTTACAGCTTTTTCTTGACCTTGCAAGACCCTAGAGTTCCACGGAGGTGAATGCTCAACTGAACTCTTCATCAAGCCTTTGGGATACATGAAGGAATCATTTTATCATTTAGGATTTAGGCAATTACTTAATATAATGATGCATTAAGTCAATACATAAGGTAGCAGGAAAAGGCATGAAGCTATGTTCTGGTTTCCTCTCAGCTAGAAATATACAATTTCAAGTGCCTATAACAAAGACAAATCTCCTATTTCATTATTTCATAACCTTTTCTATTTCGCAAGAAAGATCTTCCAAATATATCTCCATTATCTGTCTAGCTAGTTGCCTCTCAAAAGATGGCGTCTGTCAAATATCCTAGGCAGATCGACTGGGCTACAGAGGATGATTTGATGGCACCTTCTTCTCACGTCATCATTTTATTCCGGTGGAAATAGGTACTGTGCTTATTTAATATCCTAAGAGTTTGATATCATTTTCAAATTCAAGTATAACAGGAAGCAGAAGTATAAAGTGATATAATGAGAACTCTTCCAAACATTACATCTTCACCCCGTTACATCCCCAACCCATCTCCCTTCTCCTATATTTTCTTTTTTATCATTATTGTTATTTTTGATTCGCTTAAAAGTTGTATTATATACAGCTTCAGTAGAAGTGCTATGCATACATTTCGAAATATTAAAAAAAAAAAACAAGAGAAATCTTATTCATCTCCTGATTGATTCTACCTCTTCCCTCATCCCTGACTCTCCACCACTTGTCTTTCTTAGTAGGTAGAGTAGCACCTACTAGACCTCATGAGCCTAGAAAATGTTATTGCCTATGCAACATGTACTTCATGATCATGTCTTTTGGCAGAATCTTCCAGTTAATATCAAAATAAAACTTCATATAAATTAGAATCTGTTTGAAGAAATGTCTTATTTACTTACAGTCCTTGACACCGAATGGATTTGCTGGATCAAGAGGCTGTGCTTTGCTGGGATAGGAAGAAAAAGACCTCCTTTTTCTTTTGGTTATTCCTATGGCTACAATGCTCCAAGGAGATACCCTTTCTGGACGAACTGGCATTAGTTTTGCATGATTCCATTTCACCTTAGAGCAAGTTCACAAAATGGATGGTATCATAGCCGGAGTACAAGTGTGAAAGAAAGAAGTGCAAGTGAATCACAATGAAGGACCTCCTTACTTTGAGACACCTCCAATCTGAACCAGGCCATCTAATGGGGTCAAAATCTTTAACATCAACAATGGTACCTGAAAATCTGGTTATGAAATTGTATTTCCACAAATCAGATTTGCTCAAGATGTCCTGTGAATGAAAAAAAATAACTTTTTGAGAGTATTGCAAGTGATGTTGCTTAACGTCAGACCAACACTCACATTGGGCATACTGTTCTGCCGCAGTCTAGTTCGTGGCTTTCAAATGGCATGTTGAAAGTCATCCCAACCTCATAATCGATTTCAGAGGCCTTCATATATTGATTGTAAGGAATTATGAACGCAGCAGGACAAGTCCTGATGCATTTTGTAGACAGAGGAACCATCAAGTATTAAAGAAACAAAATTATTTGCTCAAAGATCATTTACCAGATAAAATTACTACATTCTCAAAAGCCATTCGAAAAGGAAACACAAGCTTACCAAGGGCGGTAGTAAATGGTGAACATTGTCCCAGAGGAAACAGCATGGTAGGCATTAGACAACATGCCGTGTTGCATGTAGTGGCTTGATAAGATAGATGTTGATGAGCTGGTTTGTTGTTTTTTTGCACGGCGAACAGCAACATATAATTCATAATTTTTTCCTCTATGAAAATAAGTTTAGCTGTTAGGCAAACAACTTGTAGCATATGTATCTCACCAAGAACATTGGAGGGAGAACAGAGTAACCTGACAAATATAAGGGTATCCCCTGCAACAAGCTTCTTCGCACTTACAAACCTACTCCAACCGTTTCTTATGAGGTGACGCCTTGACTGACCTACATTTAATAAAATGTAAAGAACATAGACTAATGTGAATGATAAGAAAGCCAAATAAAACCAAATATTAGAAGTTTTGTCTAAAGATATACAGCAAACTAGAAGAATGTGCAAGCCAAGTTGATGAATAATGCATGATGATTGATGATAACATAGTAGGATTTTTTGGGAATACCTCGATAAACATGGCGGAACTTCCATTCTAAACCATTCAGATCCTTTGCAACTAAATCCTGTGCTGGGAAATCCTGATCATTATTCTGCCACGAGAAGTAACCAACCAGTAAGTTATTGAGCTGCAAAGGTGATATCTCTCTTCTCACCAATTTCAACATTTGATGAACTAAAGAGAGGAATGAGATCAACAAGTTTCATATTATGAGCTAGGTGTGGTACTAATCCATTTTTCAGTAAGCCGCCCAATCTGCCCAAACTGTTGGATTATGACCTGTTTGTTAACATGAAATGACCTATAAGACTCTCGGCTCAATAGTGTAACCCAATGGATCAAAATGCATTCCAAATCCAAACATACAAAATCAAATTTGGAGATTGACAAGTATATAAATTTGAAAGAACTTAAGCTAGTACTTTAAGAAGAATATATGTAGCTTTTAATTTCCTTTCTTTTCTTAAAAAACAAAATAACATTGAGGAAGGTTTGGTCATGTTGGGACTTGGGTAGGTTGAATTATGACCATTATTTGACCCATCTTAACCCAACTCGTGTTGACCCAAATAAATTACAGGTTGAATCATGAACCATATATTGATTTGACCCGTTCAAGTATGACCCAACCCCAATTACCACCTATAGCATGGGCATAGTTCAGACAAGAAAAAGGATAAACGAGCACAGCTACAAGATATCTAACCAGTGGCGGAAAGCATTCATCCGCCAGTTGCTTTGGAATGGAGAGTCCACCATGCGTGTTTACATCAGATGGAGTGAGTTTCTTGCTATATGTATGCACATCAGTTTTAGCACGCGAAAATAAAGGAGAGCGTTCTGCCAAAATTGGCTCCCTCGTCCCTAGCTGCAAGCATGAAGTGAACAAAACACAACTCATTTAAGATTCTGCAATTATGGCATGGACAAGATTGAACTTATACGCCCACAGGCAATTGATGTGAAGAGGAAGCTTTCAAAACTAGAAGATTGTCAGGTTAAAAAACTGACATTTGGAGAAATTTTCGGTATCAATTTTCATAACAGAGAGCTAAGAATGAATGAATGATAATGCCAGGAGGCATTTAGACATTGCAGCCAAATTGCAATGAAAACATGCGAACCTCCAAAGCTTAAAATGTTGTTAATTTCAAGTATGGTCAATGAACTTTAATCACTCTAGCACTAAGGTTTCAAAATTATTTTTTGTTAAATTAAAGTAACGAACATTTGCCCATTATAATAATAAAGTTACTATACTATTTTTTGTCACATGAAAGTTCACCTTTAACTTTAACTGAACTTCACCCACTATATTGGTAAAGTTATAGAACCTGATGGGTACGTTGTGTCGTTATAGTGGGTAAAGCTTAGTAACTTCACTGTTAGTCTGTTATAGTGATAAAGGATTGTTACTCTAATGAGATAAAAAATAGTTTGATGATTTTACTGTTATAGTGGGTAAAGCTTAGTAACTTTACTGTTATAGACTTTATAGTAGGTCAAGTTCAATTACTTTAATGTGATAAAATAAGTCTTGTGACTTTACTGTATAGTGATAAAGTTCAGTGACTCCACATAAAATTAGCTGTACTTGCTGGCTTAATTTTTGAGAAACTACCTACAAAGTTAATACGATAAAGTTCAATACTTTACATGAGGAAGCAAAGTAATTTCTGCAAACACTTCATCTGTATTGGCCTCAGCCTGCAGACCATAAATACGAGCGTTTGAGACTACCATAAAAATAAGTTCACAAATTATAGACGAAATTTGTAAGAAATTTTTTTACCTGTAGCCTGACAGAAACAACCCTACAAAGAATTTTATATGGTACATTGTATGCTGGCATTGGCATAAGTCCATCTTCATTCATGCAAGCCTCAATCTGCATTTGGCTTCATATTAAGTGCTAGTAATATCAAAAGATAATCAAATTCTAGGTAAAAATTGTTGTATGGTTTGTAATATTGAAGTGAAAATAATAAGGAGATTTCAAGAGTCCCATATTAAAAATGAATTAAAAATGAAATTGAAAATATAAGTCTGCAAATACTCATCCATCCTTTTCCTATTAGAAAGTACTTGTCCATTATACATGATATTTATAAAATGATAGATAAAGATAATATTTGTATTTATCATTCGTGACTTGGACTTGGACTTGGACTTGAAAATTTTAAATAACTCCTTATATTCTATTTTCGTATAACTATTATTACTATGGTCGTTGTTGTTGTTGTTTTAATAGTTAAATTTCTAAAGGACATGTACGTTCTAAGAAGTTTGAAGTCTGTCCAACCGAAATTAACTCTGGACATGAGAATGTTGTTTCACTTAAAATCAATCACTTCAAAACTATATGATAACAGGCTAGTTGTATCCACAAAGAACATTGTCTGTTACCCATAAAGGTCAGGCAATCATTATTTTGATTTATTAGAAAAAATAATGGAGAAAGAAGGAAAAAAGTAGACAGTGATATAACGTCTGAATCTTCTTCTATCTTCTCTTTTCCTTCTTTCTTTATTATTTTTTCTAGGAAATATAAAGGGGTCGTTTGGTTACAAAGCAAGTTATGCAGGGATTAATAACGCAGGATTTTTTTCTTTTTTGATAAGGAAACTATACAGATAGTAATGCAGGACTGTAATGCAGGGATTATAATGTAGGGATTAGTTATGAAGGATTGTAATACACGGTGTACCTTATAGAGATTGTAATGAAGAGATTATTTTATTATTGAAAGTCTAGTTTCTTGTATTAGATATAACTATGTAGTGTATATTTTAAGATACATTTTTATGTTTTAACAAAATAAAATATTGGTTACTACGTACATGAAGGGTTATTTTTGTCATTTAATAGCTTTATCCATGTATTACTAAAATTATTTAATACATGTATTATATTAGCTTATGCAGCAAATCAAACAGGCCCTAAGTACTTTACATGTGTCATATCAGTTGAGGCATAAGATTGCTGCACCAAAACTTAGTTTCCCTTCAATATGGCTCATTGCACGTTAAGTCAACAAAGTAGTCCAGATACAGACCATCTGTGTTTACCTCTGTAATCGGCCAACTAATTGACTAAATCCTTCTTTAACTTGATGAGAACATCCACAGTTTAATAAATATACATCTTATCCGCCATTTAAAGTACCGAATGAACTTTTTTTTGTCCATATTTCCAAAGTACACGAAAATGAGATTACATCAAAGCAAATTAAATGAGTAGAGCAAAACCTGTTCAATGTGACCTTGAGGATAATAGAAGACCATATCACCACTGCTTGGAACAATAACCAGTGGACCAGAACAAGCAAGCCATAGTTCCCTATGCAAGCCACTATTTCTACCTAAGGAAGACCACAGAGCGATTTTAGAAAGGCTGAAGCCAGCACTGAACAATTCGAAGGAAAGCACACAGCTTCTTGAACTTTAGAATTTAAAAAAATTAAATAAGGGAACCATTAAGCACCTAATCATATAATATTCAGAGCTCAAGAATCAGTTTCAGACAACGAGATTTGAGTTGTTCAAGATGTATGGAATTATTTCTTACATTAATTCTATGTAGTGGTAAAAAAATTGATATTACTAGGCAATGAAATTTGAAGAGAGAAAAATCACGTGAATGATAGAGATGCGTGCAAGATGGATCAAACACCACCTTCATAAATAAATTCAGCTAAAAACATTCTCAAACTTTATTAAATAAATTCAAACCTCTTATTGAAGTTCGCTTTTAAATCAGTACTTTTATCAAGCCACCCCAGCAAATGATCACGTACAAGAAGCTGGTGGAAGAACATTGAGTAACAGTGTAACACGATAAGTGGTACTTATAAAATTATAACCACTTCCACCAAACCAAAAAGAAACATATAAAACAAATCATAACCACTGATCAGCAAAGCGTCATGCTGAAAGCAAGATTATGAATGTTACGCCAAAATACTGGATCAGTTAGAAACCAAAACATGCAGAAACCGCTGATAAAAAATGCTAGGTGGTCCTTTCATCTGCCTAAACTTTTGTGGGTAAAGTTACCC